GGTTTGATTGTTGTGTGTAAGGCCGTGCCAAAAAATAAAGCTTGAAGGAGCATTGAGCAATCCAATAAATTATGGATTTTGCCCAAGAGAAGATCTCCCTTTGTGGTCATGAAGGTGAATTTTCTCTTGACTTATAGATGAGTTTGCATAAAGAAGAGATAGAGGGCACAATGAAGTGCAAGGGAAAATTGGGCCTTTCATTATACTTCACGATCATAATAGAGACATTTGTCTTTTTGAGTTAATCCAAGTTTAAAGTGCAGTCATTTCTATTTGATGACTTAGCTACAGTGCCATTTGAAAAGTCAAACTATCAAAATTACCTCCCGTAAAGAGAAGCAAAATAATTATCAAAATCGATTATAAGAAAAAAGAAAAAAAACTCTTTCTTTTTTCTTTTCTTTTTTCTAAAAATAACTTTTCATTTAAACAAAGAATTACAAAGTACAAACGGAAGCAGTACCAATATTAGAACAATATAATATTTTTTAATTTAAAGGGGAAATTATGAAAAAGAAAAGAAGATACGATTTCTATTTGATTAAAGCCCAATTTGCAAGCGCATAAGTAGCTTCATCATTGGGTTTACCGGACCCAGCTTAACTCCAACCCGGATTGTGTTGAAGTAGGAAGGTTGAATACTCCGAGGGCAAAGACGCTTTTGTTGGATAACAACAATTAAGACATTGCAATCGATTTTAAAAATTGCTTTTTGGATGCCGAGAGACTCAGCATAATTGCAAGGGAGAGGAAGAGCTTCTACTTACACTTCCATCGGCGAGTTCCACCTTTCTCTTCTTGTCCAAGGTTGGACTATTGAGTCGCTAGCCAATCTTGCAATTATAACTGTGGCTCCTTTATTATCTTTTCATGCACCATCTACATTAAATTTTAGCCTTTGATCTAATGATGAGAGCTAGGACTCTGTCCTTTCCCCAAGAGAATCGGCTCCTAAACTTATTTCGGCAACTGTTCTCGATAGCGCAACGAACGAACATAGAATTATTTCCTTAGCAATGACAGTCACGGTTGTCTAGTATCAAGCCTAAAATTTGTGTCTAAATCAGTTCTTGATTTAAAAAAAATAATTTTATTTTTGAAAAAAAGATTGTATCTAGGCAATTCGGAGCTGAAATAGGGATAACTTATCTAGACTCACCTATTTTACACTTTTGTACCGACGAAAACCGATGATTCTCATGTATGAAAAAAATATTCGATTTGAATTACTTTTTCTTGGGGGGGGGGGGAAGTACGAAAAAAGTCCTAAACCGATTGCATTTGTATTAATTCACTCTTAAACCTTTCGATTGAGCTATTTTTATCATAAACCTTTTGCATTTTTATCAATTGAGTTAATTCGACCAATCTAGGCCGGGAATCGTTGACGTGGATGTTAGGTATCTTACGTGGCATGGCTGGTGTTGACTAGGGCCTTGCTGGCCGCTGGCGAAGGTGGCCATGGCCTCGCTAGGGCCTTGTCGGCTATTGGCGAAGTCTTGCCTCAGCCTTGCTAGCCATGGGTGAGGCCATGGTCGCCTTCGCTCATGTCAGGCTAGGCCCTAACAAGGCCAAGCAAGGGCCTCGACCCTCATGGAGGCTAGTGAGGGCTTCGTGACCCTCACCCAGTGGCTGGCGATCTTTGGCGACACTAGCCGGCCACAAACGAAAAGAAAAATAAAACAAGGAAAAAGGAAAAGAAAAATTAATAAACAAGTTTGAAAAAATTGTTAAAAATTTTCACATCAGCGTCGATCGTGTCATGTAGGACGGCTGATGTCCACGTCACCAATTCCAGCCTAAATTGACCGAATACACTCCATTGGTACAAATGTAAAAAGTTTATGACTAAATTATCCTAATTGAAATGTTTATGACTGAATTAGTATTAATATAATAGATACTTTTCCCTTTTCTAGAAAGTATCGTAATGGGCCCACAATGTCTGCGATTGAATATGTAATTTCTCATTAATTGTAATACCTCACCTTAGGTTCTCATAATAATGGCCACACAGAAGAGCTTTGATCGTGATTTTTCCTGTTTTTCTAACCTTCTAGACGATCGGTGGCTCCTCCCAATGAGAAAACAAGAAAGGCTTGAATGTAATTCGGCCGGTCAAATCCGGAGTGCTTTGAACTTTCAATGATGATGGAGTTCTAAACTGTGGAATTGCCTATAAATACCAAGTAGTTCTCTTCATCATCTTCATCAGCTCAAGCCTTCTCCTTTATCAATCACGCCAAACCCTTCCCCTACCCTTCTTGAGTTCAGTTCTCTTTGTTTCTTACAAGGCCAACATGGGAGTCATCACCTACTCGCAGGAGATCACAAGTGTCATCACACCATCGAGGCTGTTCAAGGCTATGTTCCTCGACTCCCACCATATCCTACCCAAAATTGTTCCTGGGGGCATCAAGAGCATTGAGTTCATCGAGGGAGACGGTGGAGTTGGTAGCATTAAGCAAACCAACTTCGGTGAAAGTAAGTCGGATCATACTTATATTTCTACCATGTCAAGTATATATCTATACTTCGGAATGAAGAACTAACTTCTTCACTTTAATGAATTTGCATAACAGGCTCCCACATCAAGTACACAAAGCACAAGATTGATGCTCTCGACGCAGGTAGCTTTTACTGCAAATATACCATGATCGAAAGCGACATCAAGTTCGACAAGATCGACTGTGTCGTGGAAGAAGTGAAGTTCGTCGCGGCTGGCAGCGGATGCATCTGCAAGATGACCAGTGAGTACCACGTCAAGGAAGGTTGTGAGCTCAAGGAGGAGGACATCAAGAAGGGAAAAGACAAAGCCATGGGACTGTTCAAGGCTGTTGAGGAGTACCTCGTGGCCAACCCCGATGTTTGCGCCTAAATGCTTTTCTCAGGATCCTTTTTGGGTGATGATAGAGTAAAGTGAGTGGAAAGTTTGTATCGTATCTTCTATTTTCCCTTTGGCTCTGCCTCGGAACTTATGGGCCAGGAAAGGTTTTTTATCGTGCGTATTGGTATGTTATAAAGGGTTTGAAGGTTGTGGGTAAGGCCATGCCAAAAAATAATTCTGAAAGGAGCAATGAGCAATCCGATAAATTATGGATTTTTCCCTAGTAAAGATCTCCCTTTGTGGTCATGAAGGTGAATTTTCACTTGATTTATAGATGAGTTGCATAAAGAAGAGATGTAGGGGCAAAATGAAGCGCAAGGGAAAATTGAGCATTTCATTATACTTTTATGGGATAAGTGCATTATAAGTCATAAAACTTATCATGACAGTGCAATTGAGTTCTAAAATTTTTAAAAAGTGCAATTAAGTCCTAAAACTTATCATGAAAGTGCAATTGAGACCGAAAACTTTAAAAAAGTGTAATCAAATCCTAAAACTTATCAAATCGATCAAGTTAAATCTTTTCGTTGATTGCATTTTTTAAAAGTTTTAGGACTTAATTGCACTTTTGTGATAAATTTTAGGATTTGATTGCACTATGTAAAAGTTTTATAACTTAATCGCACTTTGTGAATAGTTTTAGGATTTTCAAAGCACTTATCCCTACTTTTCCTAAGCTAGATAGATTATCGTCAGATGAAAAGCAAGCATTGTTTCCCAAATAAAAATGGAGAAAATTTGACTAGCAATGAAGAAAAATAAAAGGTAGAAACAAATTAAAAAAAAAGAACGGTCATGATAGAGAAATTTGTCTATACGAGTTGATCCAAGTTTAGAGTACAGTCATTTCGGTTCGATGACTTAGCTATAGTGGCATTTGAAAAGTCAAACTAGCAAAATTGCCTTTCGTAAACAGAAGCAAAATAAATCAGATCCGCTTCGATTAAAAAAATAAATAAAAAGAGCTTCGCCACTGTTTTTTTATTCTAAAAGTAACTTTTCATTTCAAAGCATTACAGAGTACAAACAGGATGCAGTACCTACGTCAGAATAATAAATTAAAGAAGGCTCTACTAATATAATATTTTTAACTTTAAATGATAGATTGTGAAAAAGAAATGAAAATGCGATTCCTACTTCATTAAAAGCCCAATTTACAAGTGCATGAATAGCTCCATTAGCTGGGTTTACGAGTCCAAGCCTAACTCCAACCTGGATTGTGTTGAAAAAAGATGGTTGAATACTGAGGGCAAAGACTATTTAGCTGGATAACATCAATTAAGACATTGCAATTGGTTTCAAAAATTACTTTTCAAACGCCAAGGGACTCAGCATAAATGCAGGCGAGAAGAAGAGCTGCCGCTAACACTTCCATCGACGAGTTCCAACGTTCTCTTCTTGTCCAAGGTTGGACTACCGAGTCGCTAGCCGATCATACAATTTTACCCGTGGCTCCTTTGTTATCTTTTCATGTATCATCTACATTAAATTTCAGCCTTTGATCTGACTATGGGAGCCAGGAGTCTGGCCTTTCCCTAAGAGAATCGGCACCTAAGCTTATTTTCGTGATTGTCCTTGATAGCCCAACGAACGAACCTAGAGTTATACCCTTAGCAACGGTGGTCATGGTTATTTAGTATGAAGCTTAAAGTTTGTGTCTAATATAAAAAATTCAATTTTCTTTTTGAAAAAGATTGAATCCAGGAAATTCGGAGCTGAAAAAGGGATTAATTTATCTAGACTCGCCTATTTTACGCTATCGTTTCAACGAAAATGGATGATTCACAGTATAACCAAAATATTTGATGTGAATTACTTTTTCTAGAGAGGGGGTACACCGAGTACAGACTATCGTAATGGGCCCAAAATGTCTGGGAATGAATATGTAATATCTTTATTAATTGCAATACCTCACGTTGTTATAATAACGGTCAAACAATAGAGCTTTGATCGTGATTTGTACTTTTCCTATCCTTCCAGATGGTCGGTGGCTCGTCCCAATAAAAAACAAGAAAGGCTTCAAAGTAGTTCGGCTCGGTCCAATTGGGAGTCCTTTGAACTTTGAATGATGATGGAGTACTAAACAGAGGACTTGCCTATAAGTACCAAGTAGTTCTCTTCATCATTATCATCAGCTCAAGCCTTCTCCATTAGCAATTACGTCAAACCCTTCTCCCACCCTTCTTGAGTTCAGTTCTCTTTGTTTCTTAAGAGGCCAACATGGGAGTTGTTACCTACTCGCAGGAGATCACAAGTGTCGTTGCACCATCGAGGATGTTCAAGGCTTTGTTCCTTGATTCCCATATCCTACCCAAGATCGTTCCCGGGGGCATCAAGAGCGTTGAGTTCATCGAGGGAGAAGGCGGAGTTGGTAGCATTAAGAAAACCAACTTCGGTGAAAGTAAGTCAGATCATACTCATATTTCGACCATAGCAAGTATATATAGAGATCTCGGAATTAAGAATTAACTTCTTCACTTTACCGAATTCACATAACAGGCTCCCACATCAAGTACACGAAGCACAAGATCGATGCTCTCGATGCAGGTAGCTTTTATTGCAAATATACCATGATCGAAAGTGACATCAAGTTCGACAAGATCGACTGCGTTGTGGAAGAAGTGAAGTTCATCGCGGCTGGCAGCGGATGCGTCTGCAAGATGACCAGCGAGTATCACATTCAGGAAGGTTGTGAGCTCAAGGAAGAGGACATCAAGAAGGGTAAAGACAGAGCTATGGGATTGTACAAGGCTGTTGAGGAGTACCTTGTGGCCAACCCCGATGTTTGCGCCTAAATGCTATTCTCAAGACCCTTTCGAGTTTGTATTGTATCTTTTGTTTTCCCTTTGGCTCTGCCTCGGAGCTTCTGGGAGAGGAAAGGTTTTTATAGTGTGATTTCCATGTTTTAAAGGGATTTGATTGTTGTGTGTAAGGCCATGCCAAAAAATAATGCTTGAAGTAGCAATGAGCGATCCAATAAATTATGGATTTTGCCGAAGAAAAGATCTCCCTTTGTGGTCATGAAGGTGAATTTTCGTTTGACTTGTAGATGAGTTGCAAAAAAAAGAGAGAGAGGGTAAGGTGCGTTAATCCAATTTGATTTGTTAAAATAAAATTTTCCACTGACTGTCTACATCATAACTATGCCAACTGAATATTGATGAATTAAGCTGTAGTGTGCTTCTTCGCAAATCATGGAAGCAGACTTTAAGATTGTTTCCCTAATTAAAACCATCCCGCCAAACAAAATGGAGAATATGTGGCCAAAGAAACAAACAAACTCCATTTGACTCGAAAAGAATAAGAAAAATAAAAGGTAGAAAAGTACTTAGCATAAAATTAAAAAAGGAAAAGAAGGGTCCCAAGAGAGACGTTTGTCTTTGTGGGTTAATCCAAGCTTAGAGTAGACTTAGTTCGATCCGATGGCGTAGTTATCATGGCATTTGAAAAGTCAATCCTTAACAATGGAGGTCATGGTTGTCTGGTATGGGACTAAAATTCGTGTCTAAATCAGTTCATAACATGAAAAATTCAATTTTCTTTACGAAAAAGATCGCATCCAGGCAAATTGGAGACAGACAAAAGATCTTTTGATCGATGATTTGTCACTTATTAACCTTCTAGATGATCGGTGGCTCCTTCCAATAAGAAAACAAGAAAGGCTTGAAAGTAGTTCGGCCCGGTCCAATTCGGAGTGCTTTGTAATTTGAATGATGATGGAGTACTGAACTTATGGACTTGCCCATAAGGACCAAGTAGTTCTCTTCATCATATTCATCAGCTCAAGTCTTTTTCTATCACATCAAACCAGATCCTTCTATTTCCTACGGGAGTTCGTTTCTCTTCGTTTCTTACTAGGCAAACATGGGAGTTATCACCTACTCTCAAGAGTTCACATCTGCTGTCGCTCCGTCGAGGATGTTCAACACTTTGGTCCTTGACTCACATGTCATTCCCAAGATTGTCCCTAAGGGCATCAAGAGCGTGGAGTTCATCAAGGGAGATGGTGGAGTTGGTAGCATTAAGCACACCAACTTCGACGAAAGTAAGTTGGATCGTATATGTATTACTATGCCGAGTTCATTATAACATATAGGCCTTAGAATTAAACCATCTGCTTTCATGAATTTGTGTAATAGGTGCCCATATGAAGTACACCAAGCACAAGATCGATGTTCTTGATGCTGAGAACTTCTACTATAAACACTTTGTGCTGAGATACATGTGCGAGTTGTGTTAAAGAAGTCGCACATCGGAGAATTGGTGTGGTGTGGAGCAGTTGATATATTCAAGTTGGCCCATAACTCATTGGCTTAAACTTTTGAGTGAATGTGGGTCCAATTGAACATGTTAACGGGCTCGGACTTGAGCTTTCTTTTGGCGATCTCCCTGGGTGCAGGTATTGGGCTTCTGCCGCATACTCCCAACAAATGGTATCAAAGTCGATGGTTGATTGGTGGCCCACTCTCAATGTATATTGCGGTTTCCGGGCGGTGGGGGTTGTTGTAATATCCTCAAATTCGACCCTTTTCGAGATATATGAAATGATTATTTCGTCAATGCACTGTTAGTTAAATCTCGCTCTGAATTGATCACTCATGAAAAGAATAACTAATATGGAAAGGCTATTAAGGGATTAAGTGCGTACGACTCGAGAACTCGACCATGGATTGACAATTTGATCATAAGGAATGACAAGGGATAATTTTGAGCCATTATAGACTAATCAAGGAACGGTTATAGAATGGTTCGCCAAGAATTTACAATCGGATCGCGGGTGATTCTGTTTGACCATTGTATGGATTGTGAACGACCCTAAGCCAATTCTTAATGATTGTGTACTTCGGAACTAGTGATTGACCCATCGCAATTACATGACAATCGAGGTCACCCATGACTCGAGAAAGCTTAAACGTGGTTTGATATCAAATCAATCACGAGTTGAATATGTGTAACTCTTAAAAGCCGCTCGTTAGTTTGAGATATACTAAAGTTGCAATTGATCGATTTTGACCATGAATTAGAATCTGAATTTGGATATCGAACTTTCAAGTATTTCAAGACTAACCTATTAGACGTCGCCTCATTAATCCTCTGCTTTATCGGTTTGCTCGAAATTCTCGGAAAAGGAAATTTTGGGCCAAGAATTGGAGCCCACGAGGAAGTGGGCCGAGCGAAGGCCCATTGGGCCTCACGCCCAAGGTACTTCGGCCACTTGGACCCAAACAAGTTCAAGTGGGCCCAATGAGGCCCACTAAGCCCACTTTCCCATTTTCTATCCCAATAGCAAATTCAAGCTCAATTTGAACCCATGAACTTTTCAAGCCCATTTCTATTTAATTAGGCCCATTCCAAGGCCCATCTCTTGACTTTGGCCCAAGGGTAAAATGGGAAATTTGTGCCAAAAATGTGAAATGACCAAAATACCCTTCTTGCATTATTGAACAAAGAGACAGAGAGGAAAGACTTTGATGAGTGAAGACTTTGGGGAGTTGCCATGATGAGTGAAGACTTCGGGGAAGTTGAGAAATATCTCCCAATTCTCTCTCTTGTTTCTCATTTCCTTCTCTCTCTCTCTCTCTTTCTCTCCCTCATTTTTTTGCCCCCTCTCTCCCTCCTCTTTCCTCCTTCGTCCGCCCAGCAACACTGTGCCCCTTGGTTGCTGTTTTGCGCCGTGGAGCCACCTGCCACCACCAGTCGCGCTCCATGACCGCCCGTCGCCGTGCGCCGTCCGTCCGAGCCGCTCCCCTTGCCGGTCCGCCTTCACCGCAAGCCAAACCAGCCCACAGAAGCTGCTGACCTGCTGTCCAGCCACCGTCGCCACCCCGTGTCGTTTCCGAACTGAGCTGTGCGTAGCCCTCACCGCCACCGCCGTGTCCGTGTCGTCGTAATTGTTAACGGGTGAGTTAACGCTCTAATCCCTTGATTAGTACGTTAAACTCGATTAGGATTAGTTTATATTAAGTTAATTAGGTGATTAGTGATTAATGGTGATTAATTAGTTGATAGGTTATCAACTAGTGATAGATTATTTGAAAGTTAGGCGATAAGCTATCGAAATTTTGGTGATAAGCTATCGCCAAATAAGCGATAAGCTATTGATGAAATGGTGATAAGCTATCGTCGAAAGGATAAGAAACTATCGATAAAAGGATGATAAGCTATCGTCAAAGAGACGATAAGCTATCGGTATTTGAGTGATAATCTATCACCAATTAGGTGATAAGCTATCGATTAATTTAATGATAAGCTATCACCGAGGGGCGATAAACTATCATTAATTGGATGATAAATTATCGCAATCAGGGCGATAAGTGAATTTTATATGGGTGTTTTCTGCTTGAGTTAAGTGTTGAATTATGCCAGTTTCATGCTGTTTAATGCTTGTTTTGCCCTGAAAAATAATTGCCCTATGTGAGACCTTGTTATTTAATTTTTAAAAGGGTTTTTGTGGATATATAAATAGTAAACCCCGAGGTGTCGGGTTTATATGTCAAGTTTTATAAGTAAAATAGGGTAGGGGTGTTTAAATAGGGAAGCATGCAAAGTTTGACGGTTTTATTATGTGTATGTGATCACGTGTCAATTTATTACTGCATTTTTAGGCACGAAAGTTGCAGTATTTTGTTATGTGAGCACAACCATGTCTGCATTGGTTAAATGAGAAAAAAATGAAATTGGCTTGAGTGGTTGAGGTGCTTGCGTGATCACATAATGAGAATCTGTTATCCCCGTATGAGTGCGGGCGTGCCTTGAATGGCCGTGATGAGACCTTCGATGGATTTCGGGCGTGCCCTGAGCAGCCGTGATCAAGACCCGGTTAAACCAGAAGATCCCCGTGCGAGGACAGGCTTGCCCTGAGCGGCCGTGATAGATGCCGGTCATGCCGGAAGACTGCCAACTCGTGGGGTTATGTCGTGACCCTGAGTGGTCTTAAAAATCGGAACACGCATGGGTGCATTGTGCATGGAAAGTTGCTATGTGTTCTAATTACGTTATATGCTTATTGCATTATTATGACACATGATGGTTTATAACGTGCAAAGCGTGTGCCAAGGCGAGGTAAGGATGCCTGCAATTGTGTGATGGCGTGTTTGTGTGTGCTGTGCTGAGTTGCCTGACACTATGTATAATTAAAGCAAAGCAAGGGGTTATTTTGCAATTGATCTTTCATTATTATATTGCTGCATGTTTTAGGTGCATCCGAGACGAGTTGACTTACTAAACGAGGCTTAGGTCATTAACTTGCTGAGATTTATATCTCATTTGTTGTTGTTAACTGTTTTCCAGGACCTTAGCCTGACGAACCACCCGATGCGGTTTGGGGTGCCGCAGAATGTGGATAGGATTATTACTACCTATCATTTTCCCAGCAAGCCGCATCTTTTTTAGCGCCACCTGTCTACTGTGTGGGTGGATGAGGGCCTAGCTATGTGGGTCCCATATCAGTTCCTAGCATGGTTCATCCGTGAGGGTGAGGGCCTGTACGACCCTCTGAGGGGCTTCGATGGTTCTCCAAATAGGGGCCCTGGGCAAGAGGTCTGGGACCCTATGGACATTGACCCACCTGAAGGGTCAGT